AATAAAATTTGTTATTGAATCGAAATATCACAAAAATATTCTTGAAATGAACATCAACTTAGTTTGGGAATTAAACAGCATTGTTTGACATGGTAAGTTACATATTGATTGAATCATTCAATTATCAATTGTATTTGAAGTGTTCTCTAAATGTTTTTGAATATCTTCTTTTCCCATTTAATAAAAATAATTAGCAGATATTTTTTTTCATAAGATTGTAAATACACCAAGATAATATTAGTGCTTGCTTGGTCGTGCTTATTAGAACGTAGTGGATTCCAATACTTATAAGCACCCAAAATATGTACTAGTAAACTTGAATAATTGCTAATTAATGGATTCATCACAAAGGATCAGATTTTCCAGCATTTAAGCATGCAATAAAAGATAGTGAGAATGATATTAAGTAGACTCGTACTAGTCACCAAAAACCACGGGGATACCTGATATATGTATGTTTAATAGGATTATAGGAGGAGGGCCTAAAAGGTCCATGAGGCTGAGCGGGTGAGCCTTGGTTTTGTTATCTTTTTGTCCTCTTCAAGAGAAATCATTAGCAAATTCGATGGGTTCTCTATCATGAGTTTTGCAACCTCTTGGTTCAAATTCCATTCCAACTACAAAAGAGAAATTATAAAGACTCATTACCAAGTGTTTGTCAATAATTTCAAGGGCCTTTTCATAATTTCTGGGCAATTTAACTCTTTCCCACAATTTATTTGGCATATGAGCCCTTTCTATCGTCTTCTATGGATATTGTTGCCTTAATTTTGCTTATTACATCATTTTCTTACTTGTCTTTTTTACTAATATTTGGTTTCTCATAATCCATATGCATTGATTAATATGTTGTTTATATGTGAATGATTCGTGAATGATTCAATTTCAGGCTTGTGAGATCTGAGATGCAACCTTGGATGCTGGAATAGGGCTTGATTCCACAATTTTCGAGGATTTTCTACTTCTCAAGTAAGCAATGGCTTGCTCTAACTTGATATTGAAAATGTTTGAAGCCTTGTCGGCTTATAGACTTGTGGCCTTGTCGGCTTATATAATTGTGGCCTTGTCGGCTTGTATGAATGTTCATTGTAGCGTGTAGAATCAATTGCACAGGCGCACGT